GGTGGCAGCATCATGATGTAATGCACGGTGGTGACAGCATCATGATGTGAGGCACGGTGGTGGCAGCATCATGATGTGAAGCACGGTGGTGGCAGCATCATGACGTGAAGCACGGTGGTGGCAGCATCATGATGTGAAGCACGGTGGTGGCAGCATCATGATATGAAGCATGGTGGTGGCAGCATCATGATGTGAGGATACTTTTCAGCAGAAGGCTCTAGAAGGCTTGTAAAGGTAGAAAGTAAAATGAATGCAGGGAAACCAGTGCAGTCTGTATGAGAACTGAGACTTTGAAGAAGATTTGTTTTCCAGCAAAACAATGAAACATACAGCCAGAGCTGATCATAAATGGCTTAAAGACAACAAGATGAATGTTTTGGAGTGTCCAAGTCAGAACCCAGACCTCAGTCTTACTGAGAATTTGTGGCTAGACTTGAACAACCTGAAAGTTATTCAAAGGAGAATAAAAAACATTGCAGTGTCCAGATGTGCAAGGCTAATTAAGGACCATCCACACAGGCTCAGTGCTGTAATTGCAGCCAGAAGTGCATCTACTGAATACTGGGGAGTGAATACTGATACAATCACTTATTTTATGTTTTATATTTTTAATAAATAGCGATGACTTTCTACAAATGTGTTTTCACTTTGACAAGAAAGAGTCTTTTTTTGTCAATTCTTGCCAAAAACGCCCAATTAAATGACCATGATTCAGTGTTTAAAAGCAATAAAGGGAGAACACTTCTCAGAGGGGTGAATATTTTAACAGACGCTGCGTGTTTAAGCGAGGACGGCTCATTGTGCAGGTACAGCTAACGATGTTTTCTCATTCTCTAGATGCGGTCCACACTCTCACCTGCGCCCTAATGCTGCTCAACACGGATCTACACGGTCAAGTAAGTCATGATGTAATCCTGTGTGTGGACGCCTGTACGTATGAAAGTGAAGCTGCCGTACGGAAAGTGTGCAAACGCTTGCCGAGGCGCACAACAAACAAAGCAAAGGAAGGTTTCGAAAGCTGCGTTCTCGTCAAAAGCCTCTTTGATTAAGTTTTGTGAATGTACGAGCGAGCGTCGCCATCTGATCTGCAGGTCCGCCCGCTGAGCTTCTTTCACCATCATTAATCTGCGGCTTTTATAGTCAGAGCCTCCCTTTTTGCAAATCTGGGCCATTGGCGGCTCTTTTCTCTGTGATAGTGCAGCTCAGTGGATGAATGATTAATTAAAGCAGCTATCGAGGTGACGGGATTGGGGATGAGCTCCGAGAGGGAAGAGCACATCAGGAAAGTTTCAGCGCATTTAAAAGGGATTTAAATTTGACTTTTGTTGTTACTGTCGGCGGAGCTCTCCTCGTTATCATCATTATGACGAGCGAGGGGACTGATTGATGCACTGATACAGGATTAGGGCAGATTAGCGTTTTGATTATTCCATCATTTGTCTGGAAAATGACAGAGAATGTGCGTCATCGTGTCCCTGAGTGCAACTTTTTATGCTTGTTTTGTCCAAGTTCAATGTAGAATGAAATAGAAATGGAAAAAAAAAGGCAAATTGTCACATTAGAGAGGCTGAATTGTTGCACTTTCTTGAATAACTTGCAAAACTGTTAAAATTGCACTTGTAATTGGTTATTAAACTCATTTAATTTTTTAAAAATGGGAACATGAGTGTCCATAAAGCGCCTCAAATTCAGTCCAGACATGAAAACGTTTCTTGTGTCTAACTTTAGAAATGAAAGCACGTTTATTATTTTTTTTATTAAAACAGTTTTGTGGCATTTTGAATCTCTTGAAACCTATAAAAAAGTTTTAAAAGCTTTTAAGTTGAAATACAGATTCTAACATTTTAGGGTGATTTGAATTATAAGATGATGTTAAAAGAAG